GCAGCGACGGCGGGGCGGGGCCGGTCCTTTTGGCACCGGTCCCGTCCACTGCCATGGACGGTGGCCGGAGTTTCGAAGAGAGAGAGAGGAGGGAGCTGCTGTCGGGGAGAGAGAGACGCGCGGGGGAGAGAGAGAGACAGACGGGGGCATTTCCGTCCTTTTAACCAAAAATCCAATTTCCAAATATTTACGATTATGCCACTGAGCCTCTTTTGACCATATCTCTCTCGTTACAACTCCGATTCGAGCCCACTACGTGTCTACGGACTCATCTCACCGTGCTCTACGCGACGGTACAACCGGAATTCCCAAATTCCTTCCAGGTAAGAAAATGACTAAAATACCCCTATCACACGGGTAATTTCTCAATTCCACTTAAATTAATTAAACATGGGATAAATTTGGGGTCGGGGTGTTACATTTATCACTCAAGTCCTTTATAAAAATAAATATAAAAAAGCAACTTAAAGCAGAAAGAGTAAAGCCTGTGGGTATAGCGCTCTGTTGGTTGATTTTTTCCACTTACGCTCTGTTGGTTGATCTTTTCCACTTTCACTCATGTGGACAGAAGTTCGAAACTCCCAAACACCCATTTAATAATTGTATAAACCCCCTTCCCGAATCGCTTGTACAACGAAATTAAAGAGCAAAAGTAATAATCCATTTGAATATACTCTCTCTCTCTATATATATATATATATATAATACATACCATAAGCTTACTCATCGATTACCCTATGCTAAATTGGTTTTATATTGCAAACTTGGTGTTTTTCCCCCCTCTTTTTTATGAATGTATATTATATAACATAACATGGGGGATGGGGTCTCAATGTAGGGGAATATGGACAAAATCTTGAAAGAAATAAAGAAAGTATATCATCATTAAATGGAGAGAAAAAGAGTACATGTTTCACATTGAAGATGTGCAATATAATGAACTTATATAATGTTTCTTTTTTTCTTACTTTTTCTGTGGAAGCAATAATTTAGACGCAAATATGGCAAACTGCTATAACCTAGGTACTAAATTAAAATAAAGTATGCTAGTGCAGATAGAAAATGGAAAGCGTAAAAAAGCATACACTAAACACGTCCAAGTAATGAAAAAGATCAGTGACAGCAGCAAAGGTCTGCAAACTTGCACCAGAATGTGTTTTTTATTCTTCTTTTATAACTTTTAATTCATGATTTAAACTCTTTTTTTACAATGCACAAAACAGATGCATTGTGTAGAATTTGGATTTAGCACTAGAGAGCTAAGCATAGGTGATACCCTATAGGTAGCTATAGCAATAGTATTTCTGGTGTAATTGAACAGATAACTTACCATTCAACATCAATAAAGGACCTATGAACTCAGGAGCATTCCTATTGCTTATTTGTCCTGACCATAAAAACATACAAAAATCCCATAATGTTAAGCCTAAGGTTTCTCTGTAGGATGTAGATCATGTACAATTGCACTGTATATATATAATGGGATGAAATTAAAGATGTAGTTGATTCAGAAGAAGATACAAAGTTAGTGATGGGGTTGTTGATAATGTTGGGAAGAGTACTACAAGAAAAAAACCCCATTAATCACTGAAATTAGTCGTACAAGATAAGGTGACTAAAGACACTATTAGCGTCTAATAGCACACGGACACCAATAATTGTCGATGTCAGCTATTAGCCATACTAGCCACAACTAGCGCATTTTACCCACCTCATCATGTACAACTAATGTCAATGACAATTAGCGATTTTTCTTGTAGTGATTAATTGTGATATATATATATATATATATATATATTTTTATCATGTCCAATTTACCTGTGCTTCAATTACATCCCAGTGTTCTTGGTGTGCTAGATTCTCTGTCCTTCAAATACTTTTATTTATTTATAATCATATTCATCAAGTAAATCGTGCAATTTTAAAGCTTTGGACAAAACAACTTGATTTTGTTAACTTTACTTGATCCTTCGGGTGATGAAAGGCCTTTAAGTCTTTTCATATCTTTTGCTTTGAGTGTGTGCATATAATATAGTTCCTATACTAATCTCAGTCGCTGTAGCCATATCCCATTTTCTCTTCAATTTCACAAATCCAATCAAAAGCTAACTTTTTGCATCAGAAGGGAAGACAGGACTAGACAGCCTAAATCCCATAATAAGCTTTGGTTAGTTCTAAGAAATTCTCTTACCAATAAAAGCTTTTGTCAAAAAACCTGATTTTGGTTCCTTCCCCACTCTACTTTACCTAATAAAACACCTTTAGTCTTTTCTTCTCTTTTTTCTCTGAGTGGAATTTCTCACTATTTATTTACCCCCATTTTCTCTTCAATTTCACAAATCTCATCGAATGCTTTTTGCATAAGAAGATAGGACTAGACAGCTTTAATCCCATGTTGTCCAGATGAGTTTTTTGTTTCTGAAATTGCGCATTTCCAAGAAATTACAATGATTTCCTAGATGGGAAGTCATGATGAGATTGAAGAGGAGAAGACCTTCATTTCAATTGACCACTCAACAGAAAATCAAAACTATGATAGCTAGGTCTCTGGAATCTCCTAAACTTTTTATATGGATTAAACTTGAAGTGTTGTGCATTGCATGTCATAACAGCATGATCCATACACGAGTCATCATATATATATATGCTGCCTTTCTTTTCTTGTCTTTTCTTTTCCTTTTTCATGCCTTTTTGATATTCACATGTCGTTTCCTTTGGTTGCTACACTTACATGGGATTGTGATGTATATGCCAAGCCAAAAGCAGTAAAATATTAGAATCTGATATTGCAGAGAAATAATTACATAAAATATCAAGATATTCCAAGAGTCTTGCACTAGGAAGAACAAAATGTTCCACCTACTGGTCTTGGAATCTATCTGTTGTTGAAGGAGCATATTCTTAATGCATGTTTGGGATCATGGTGTGATTCAGTTATCTCTTTTACCATTCCAGGGCACAAATTTGTCTAACCATAAGATTTCACAGGATTCATAATGTTGCAAATTTGCAATTACCATTTCAAGCTAGCAAATTTCGCTAATACTTTACGGACGCAAGTGAACCTTATAATTAATACCTATATCACCTTATTGGATATTGAAACTGTTTTCAACTCCATAACTTACATGGATAATACAATTTCTAGCCATGGATTGTTCTAACCAGTTTTCATTCAGGATCATCCATGAAAAATCTAATCCACGACTCAACTTATATGGAAGTAAAATACACTCTGTTCATCACATGTTTGGGTGGTACTGTTATCTGCAATACTCATATGCAGTTCCGTACACTATTCATTTTACATATTTATTAAAAGGAAAAATAAGTACATCTCTTTTATATCGAGTATGAACTACCATCCTTGGGTATTACTTTCTCCTTTGCGCCGAAACCAGATGAGCTATTAAAGGCCGATTAAAATCACTACAGGTCTTCAGGCGGAAACGAAATGATCTATTGAAGGCGGTCTAAAGTCAGAAGACTTGTACAACAATGTAAATTACTGTGGGGTAAGATCCATGGAATGATGGAACATAGCTACAAGCTCATCTCCTGAGGTAGGCTGATTTCGAGAAAGTAGAGGCTGCAAAACAGGCAAAGAGAGAGTAATCTGTAAGGAGAATAAGCAACACTTATGTACAGCTACAAATATCACACCCTCAGATGCTCTAACCCTTCTCTAGATATTGATAAAAAGAAATTAAACAGCTAATTACTCCGAAAAACTCCTTTACCAACCGGCACACTATTTGCATTTGTAACAGCGACATTCTCGAATATTTTTCTTCAGTATATTTAAAACATAAGTATTACCTTGCAGACATGAAGGCCATTCCCAAAAACACGGCCTTGACAGCTTGCTTCTGCCCCGCATAATCAAATGCCAAGGGAAGCATCTCATGCAGGGTTAGAAAAGCCATTACTCCACCAACTGTGTCACCACAAAAATGCATGGGAACCAAAATTTTCATAAAAAATAATTCTTATTCAGTTGATATATTAAATTATCATTAATTAGCAAACCTGCTCCCAGCAAGCCTTCAAGAATATCAGGACTCAAGCTGCTTGGAAATAGATAGGCTGTAGCAGAAGTGAAAACCATGAACAAGTGGCCTTGAAGAAATTCAGGACTCAAGCACCTATTCTAAATCCACCCTTCCCATTAAGATTGGTAAAAGAAAGATATCTAAGTTTCTTTTCACAGTTGACATACCTACAATTATGACACCCAAAGGCTCAGCAAAACCAGAAAGTGTTGCCAATTTGAATGCCTGCCATTTGCTGGGACATGTAGAAAACCCACCATTTAATAATTTCTCATAAGAATGATTCAGTGTTCGTTTGAGAGAGATTCATAAAATTGTCTCGATATAAAGGCTAACAAAAACTTATGAAGTAATTATTGCTCCAAAGTGAACAAAGCTTAGAACTCATGTCTATTATTCATAAATAAATAAAAATTGATTGAAACCCTCTGCTTCTGAAGTGAGACAACCTGCATCCAATTTCCAAACTACGGCATTGACATCCTAAAGAATAGCTAGTTACCAAACCACCAGACACTACCACTAGTATCTATATTGCTCCACCGGAACCCACTACCAGGAGTAGCGCACAGCCACAAACATGATATCCTCCAACACCAACATCGTTGCTTAAACCATCATAACACTGCCCGTGTACAACCATGACAGAACTGCCTTTTCCATTACCACATCCAATAACAATTTCATACTACTGCCAAAACTACAAATACCTCCACCACTTCTAATAAAATTACCAAAACCCTCAGAGTCGACATCATTTTACCAAAGACCACTACCTTTTTAAAAATATTTTTGTCCGCCTTCGGGGTTAATTAAAGACACTTGAGAGTTTTTTTTTTTTTTTAAAGTGAAAAAAAAAAGAAAAAAAAAGTAAACCCATTGTTTGTCACAGTTCATAAATACTTCAAAAAGCCAACTCCAAAAATTCTCACCTCTGTGTTGCAAAGTAAACAGGAAGTGCAACAGCAACGCCCTAGAAAAGAGAAAGTTGTCACTATAATAACAATGGTAGTTCTACATTAATATAAGTCCCAACTCAAAATTTAAAGCAATCCTCTATCTATTTAATAGTCTACAATTTTGCTCATCACACTCTAGTCATGAAGTTTATGAACAATTAGAGGTTGATGATATTCATCAACAATAAACAGAATACAATTTTTAAAAATATTGAATCTTTCATTTAGAAACTCGGAAATCATTTGACAGGTTTTTGAATTTTTGAAATGTTGAATGCAATTTTCCATCCTTTTTCTTTCAATTTCTCTTTGTTGAGATGTGCACTATTCTTGCAATCAACATTAGTTCCATATATTCCAAAAATTGTATCCTTAACAGCAAAGGAACCTGTCCATTATATTACCAAAATTACCAGTCCAGCCATTATTATTATTGTAAGTGGTGGACCCTGGAAGGTACAATCAATTATGTGCTACTTTAATCCATGGCAGAGTGCGAGCAATTAGAGCAATACCATATAGTACAAGTATTAGAGAATATACATACCTCTGGAATGTTGTGTAAGGCAATGGCCAAGGCCAAGTTGACACCAACACGAAGACCCTGCAAACAATTAGGGAACAAGCAAGAATGGTATATGACATTTAGCAATCAGCAGCAATTATAGTCCTAAAACAGATATCGAAAACCATTCTTGCTGCATCTACAACCACCAATCCCGTATGATGAAAAGACCATGCAAATCAAAACCAATATACACTAAAAGAAAAGAAAACATACAAGAATGCATGAAATGGCACACATATTTAGCAATTTCAACTAGCATATACATCTATGAAATTAAGAAGAAGAAAAAAACATATAAGCCAGGATCTGTAAGCATCTAAAATTGTTATAGATAGGAAAAATACAGTAGCTTTACTAATGAGTTCCCATACTAGGAACCACAGCATTGGAAGCTGTGCTTCAAGAAGATAGCAACATTTACAGAGCTTCCATGACCATGTTAATTGGTTGAATGTAGGAATAGAGCTAAAAATGCACGCAAGGAAGAAAAAAAAAATTAAATTTCACCATCCAGATTGTATCTTAAATAATAATACATCTAATTTGGTCATGAAAAATAGTAAACTAAATAGTTGGTATAGTTGGTGAGTATAAGTTAATTAAATGCTCGCACTACCCCCATACTATATTATATCGACAACATATCTTAAAATAATTAGGCAAAGAAAACTGCATAAGTATTGCACATCAAGAATCAAAGGAAGTCTGACCATTCAAGAAGACATTTTTTATAGACATAATTTAAAAATAATTTTTGTTTTGTTTTAAATCAAACACATATTATGAAATTCAAATCAATATAAGCATGAGTTCATCTATCTAGTCAAACTTAGAATTAACTCATTATTCTAAGAACAATAAAAACTTAAGATAGAGGTACCTTCATTGATCCAAGGAACACGGCCATTCCTTCTGGAAAGTTGTGTAAACTTATGCCTGCAACTCAATGGCCATGATATTCCACATTAGAGGGGATCAACTATAGACATTAACCATATTACTCAAACATTTTCTCAGACTTTATTTCTCAGAAGGGGAAGAAAATAAAAAGTATTGCTGTAAGCTATTAGAAACATTCAAAACATGCAGAAGATGCAGAAGATGCAAAACACCCCTAGGCCTTGGGTTGTGAGAAGGGGTAGATTTTATTCTTCTTGTAGGCCCAAAAAAAAAAAAAACAACAACAAAAGACATATCCAAAACACAAAGACATAAAAATGGTTTTTCTAATTTATAGATTGACTAACTTGACTTAATTATCAAAACAAACTTTTAAATTTCAACATGCAACCATTAACCAACTAAAGTTTCCAATTCCACATGTAACATCAAATTAATTTTGTCATCTAATTCAAAGAACAGTATGGAAGGTAGTTTAAACCATCTCAAACAAGTAGTATACCTATTGCTGTAATTATCCCACTGTATAGAACTTGGCGGCGATGCTTCTTCAAAGTGTCCTTGCCCCCTTCATCCCCACTTTTCTGTTGTTATGTATATTGTCGCACAGTCAAACATGCCTTCTATTCGGGTAGAAGTATTATGCCAAATCATATGCAAAAGCATCCACAAATTGCTCAATTAGAAGGAGAAAAGTTGATTACTACCTTTTTACCTCTCACATCTGAACTAGGAGCCAGTGTTGGTTCTGGAATAAAATTGGCAATGATACCAAAGAATATGACACCGCCAAAAAACTGCACCACCGATAAATTTTACATATAATTCTAAAAGAAAACATGAGCAACTCATGTCGGAGAGGTGATGGATTTGAATCAGACAAACATTAAAGTATATGGCTTACCCATAGGTTGGCTTTTAAAAAGCCAATCGAATTTATAGCATTGTGAGCCAAATCTAGGAATGATATGCTTAGCATCAAACCTGCAGCAAAACCCTGCAGAGAGAAGAAAATGTAAGCAATTGAGTCAACACATGAGCTAATTCTTTAAGAAAATGACCGAACCAGGGAACAAATAAAATTTCAGAATTTAAGGATATGAATCAGAGCACCTGTAAAAGCCCAAGTATCTTCAAATTGGGAGCCTCATTGAGAACTACAAAAAGTGCACCTGTACCACATTCCAAGACTTTCATTAGACTCCAGAACAGAAACTGATTTACTGAGCAATGAGGTGAACATCAGAAACTAGGAAATTCCATAAAAATCAAAAGCCTTTTTCACACCATGACTAATACAAAAGAACTGGCCTAGAAAACAGCGGGAACACTTCCCAACAATGCCTTCTACACCATTAAACCTCAATTTCGCAACAACTTGATGGATAGGGAACTGAAACTAGTAGAAGCTATTTTACAAAACCCACCAGCAAATTAGCCAATATCAGACTTCTATCTAAAACTCAAAAAGTCAAACAAAGAAAGCAAATTTGAAGCCAAAACCCGAAAGTCAGAAATACCCAGAAGCAAATTTGGATAAGCATTACTTGATAAACGAAACAAGAACAACAAAATCATCCTAAATGGGATAATTTGAATTTGAAATTGCTGGAATGGGTAGTTGAAGCAGACGATGAATAAGAATGAGCTTTTTACTAACCGATTGAAGTACTCAGTCCACCCACAAGTGAGAGAGCCAGAGCCACCAAGACCTGAGAATCCATGGAGGGCTTTTTCTTGACCAAGGACTCCAAACTCAAAGACCAAAAAGCTCCAAAATCCGTGGGGCTGAACCGTTGAAAGGAGTGTGACGGAATATGACTGAGTAGCTAGAGAGTAAAATGAAACAGTGAAGCTGAAATGGTTTAAGCTATCGGGGAACTCAAAGCCAAATATATATACAGAGAGGGAGAGAGAGGGAATTTTTAATTTTGTATAGTGGAAGAAAGAGATGTTTGTAAGGGTGGTCCAAAGAAAATGTAAGAGAAGAGAACAATGAGTTTCTTTCTCTACAGTCTTAGTCTATACCTAACCTTGTATCATCATCTTAACCGTACTTCAATGGAAGTGCTTCGTATATCTAGGGGCAAGGCTTAGGCTACTATAGCGAACGGCTTCAAGCCACGAATCAATGCCTATAAATTAGACATTCTTGATTAATTTCTTGTTTGTCTCTTTTTTTTTTTTTTCATTCATTCCTCATCCGTTTTCTTTTTATTAGAGATGAGCAAGGAGTGCATAAGGACTATTTTAATAGTTATCAATGCAAAAACTTCATTTTATTTATTGCAAATAAAGAATATACGATTATATGCTTGTATTTTTCTATACTCATTTCCCTTATGAGAACAACATTGTTTCGGCATCGGAGTATAACTCTAGAAAGAGGAGAAGTAAATAACGTTTAAAGCAATGTACTTTGTTTTAGTTATAAATGTATCATTGACATGGAATGCGTTTATATAGATATAGCTCAATGAAAAAAGATATTGACTTACACACTAGTGGTCTTAGATTCGAATCCCCATAACATATTAGTAGTGTGTGTGAGAAACTTCCTCATCTTTATAGTTTAGATTATTAATTATATTCAAAATATATGTATATATATATATATATATTACGTGTATGTTCAAATGGATCGTTATAGTGTTGCTAATAGGTTTTTTTTTCTAGCCGGTTGTGGCTGATCAAGCATGGCATGTTGATGCAAGAAAAGAAATGAGGTCACGTATGACAAAAGATTTTGATCAAATAATGTTTTATACTTTCTCAATGGTTTATGTTGAGAGTGGCACGAGCTTGCAATCGTGCACGAAAGCTTATTTAAGTCGAGTTAATCGTGGGTTAGGTCATAAGCACCAATAGCTTGCTCAATATCCGTTTCCAAACCTTCAAAAGTTGAAGATAATACAAACTTATTAGCCACCTAAAAGTAAGGTGCATCTTGTTAATAAATATAAAAAATAATTAGGGTGCATTTTTGTACGTCGTTCTAGTCAATTGCTTGGTTGGTCTATGCTACAATACTAGATAAATCAAAGCATATAATTCATCACGAACATCTTCAACCGATATGTCAAATTATCATAAGACATGAGATGACAAAAATTAAAGATTACAGTGCACTAAATAATGTATCTTACTTTCTCAATGGTTTAAGTGCAGAGAGAGAGAGGTATACATATTCCTTTACAATAGCTAGCTCAGTCTTCCTTCCCAAACCTTCAAAACTTCCAGACTGAGATTTGGGACATAGACAAATACTTGTATTATAATAGCAAACTTTCTGAGCAAATTCATAAAATTAATGAAGTGCGTGCATCCAATCGATGTCCATCGGCTAGCTTATTGCCATAAAGAAACTACAAATCTTTGCAGGTCATATTGCCATACAGCCTTGACAGTGAACAAAATGTATCCACGTAAAAAGAATGAATTTATTTATCATTCTTCTCTTGTTGTGGGTATGATCATTGCACATGAAAATTATCCTTTTCAAATCGGTTACAAATTATTGTTTTCTATTATGTCAATATAAAACTGTAATGATTTGATAAAGTTGCATAGGGAAAATCCGTATGGGTTTAATTGATTATTTGAAACATGTGAAATAATTTGGGACATTGGAGAAAATTAAATTGAGAATGGATGTCAAAAATTAAAGCGGTAGACACTATTTATTGTATTAGGAAAAGGAGACAAACTATTGATTATAATAGCAACTTCTTGCGCTTCTCTCCATTTCTCTCATGGTTAGCCTCTTGCATCAAGCTCTATTTGCAAAAGGATAGAGACTATCAAGAAACATCCATTTTGTAGCATCTTGTGTGTATGATGTTGTCTGTATGTGTTGTGCGGAAGCGTCAACCAATTGTGAGTGAAAAATAAACAACAATTGGCAAGAGATAAAAAAGAACAAAATAACACCAAGATTTATACTGGTCCAGCCATGCCTACATCCAATTTGGAGACGACGGAGTATTCCACTATAATCAATGATAACATAGAATAGTGTTTATCACTTAATTTCTCAAAGACCCAAATAGCCCAAGCTCACACACTCGCAATAGGAAGAGAAAACTGAAAATACAAAGCAAAGACAACTTGAGAGAATTTTCTACCTTCTGCCGGAGAGCTTCTTGCTATTTTTCTCTCCCTCTTCTCCCACTTTCAGCTGCTGCCATGCTTCTCCTTTTATAGAGAAGCCAACGGGTGAAGGAGAACTACTTCAGTTATGAGGCCAGTTATGAAGTCAAAATAGCCCACCATATTTGCATGGGAACCAACTACCAATTTAAGTAGCCGACAACAACTTTGCATGTGGGTGCAATCTTGAGTCAATAGTCAACAATCTCCACCTTGACTCAAAATTGCACCAAATCATCGTATTAATACTCCAATGGTCATCTCCTAATCCCCCATGGGGCAATCAACAAATTTTACAAATGTCAATCAAGTCTAACCAATGCTTAAACTTGAGCAACGAAACTGGCTTTGTTAACATATCCGCAGGATTGTCGGCAGCCCCAATCTTCTGAAGAAGAATATCTCCCTCGTCAATAATCTCATGAACAAAATGGAATCTCACGTCAATGTGTTTCGTACGTGCATGATGAACTTGATTCTTTGCTAAATAAATAGCATTCTGACTGTCGCAATGAACATCCACATGGTCCTGTTGAATCCCTAAGTCATCAAGCAACCCTTGAAGCCAGATGGCTTCCTTAATAGCTTCTGTTAACGCCATGTATTCTGCCTCAGTAGTCGACAAAGCAACTGTAGATTGCAAAATCGACCTCCAACTCACTGGACCTCCAACAATAATGAATACAAAACCTGTAGTGGACCTACGCTTGTCTAAATCACCTGCGTAATCAGAATCCACATATCCAACAACACATTGACCAGTAACTTTATCATGCTAAAACAATAAACCAACATCCATAGTACCCAAAATATACCGTAAAATCCATTTCACATCATGCCAATGGCCTTTTCCTGGATTATGCATATATTTACTGACAATACTAACAGATTGTGAAATATCAATCCTTGTACACACCATAGCATACATCAAACTACTAACAGCACTTGCATATAGAATTTGAGCCACGTAATGACTCTCTTCACCAATTTTAGGAGACATAGAAGCACTAAGTTTGAAATGAGCAGCAAGAGGTGCACTAACCGGTTTTGAATTTTCATTCATCCCGAAACGTTGTAGTACCTTCTTCAAATACTGCTTCTGACATAGACTAATCTTGACCTTTGCTCTAGCTCTTTCAATTTACATACCCACTATCTTCCGAGCTTCTCCCAAGTCCTTCATCTCAAATTCATTACTCAATTAAGTCTTCAACCTTTCAATCTCCACTTTGCTTTTACATGCTATAAGCATATCATCAACATATAAAAGCAGATAAATGAAGGTTCCATCTTGTAGCTCACAATGGTCATAGTGACTTATTGTGTACTTTTGCCCGATCATAAATCGATCAAATTGCTTGTACCACTGTCTTGGAGACTACTTCAAACCATACAATGAATTTTGCAATTTGCAAACTCAATTTTCCTTGCCATCAACCTTAAAACCTTTCGGCTGAGACATATAAATCTCTTCCCCCAAATCACCATGTAAGAACACAGTCTTGACATCAAGTTGAGCCAACTCAAGGTCAAACTGTACAACCAAAGCCAACAAAATATGAATAGAGGAATGTTTTACTACATGAGAAAATACATCATTGTAGTCAATGTCCTCCTTCTGAGCATAGCCTTTAGCTACCAATCTGGCTTTGAATCTTACATTTTCTTTTCCTAAAGATTCTATCTTCTTGGCTTAAACCCATTTGCAACCAATTGCTTTCTTCCCCTTTAGTAACTGAACCAGCTTCCAAGTCTCATTTTTATGAAGAAATTTCATCTCCTCATCCATAAATTTCTTCCACTCCATGCTCTCTAAACTTCTGACAGCTTCTTTGTAGGTGGATGGAATATCATCTTCAATAACGGGAAGTGCATATGCCACAATATCAGTAAACCGAGTAGGCTTTCGAATATCCCTTCTCGATCTTCTGGTTGCAATAAAATCTTGTTGCTGTGGAGGCTCTTGGGTAGATGCCTCCTCTTCATGATCCTTGTCCTCCTCATTAGAATCAATTATAGGACTAGTGTCTGTAACATCAGACCTTACTGGAACAACTAGAGTCTTCAGTAACTCCACCTACTTTGAACTACTCATGGTTTTGGTCGCTTCTGTTTCACCTTCATGCTTGTTTTGATTTACCATAGCAGCCTTATCAAAAGTCACATCTCTGCTTACAACAAATTTCTTCTCATCTGGACACCAGAGTCGGTATCATTTCACACCAGTGCTAAATCCCATAAATAGAACTTTCTTTGCTCTTGGATCCAACTTGCTTTTCCTGACATGATAGTAAGCAAGATAATCAAATATGTGTAAATACTTGTAATCAGTACAAGGGTTGCCAGACCATACCTCCATGGGCGTTTTACCTTCATTCGCAGCAGCATGCAACTGATTAATGAGATGACTTGCATAAGCAATCGCCTCAGCCTAAAACGCCTTGCCTAAACCAGCATTAGACAACATACACCTGACTTTCTTAAGCAAATTACGGTTCATGCGCTCCGCCACCCCATTCTGTTGCGGTGTCTCCCTAACCGTGAAGTGCCTTACAATACCCTCATCTTGACAAACTTTCAAGAAAGGATCATACTTATATTCACCACCATTGTCTGATCTAAGAGTCTTGATCTTTCGACCACTTTGCTTTTCAATCATCTTTTTCCACTTTAAGAATATCTTTAAGACTTCATCTTTACGCTTCATGGTGTACACACATATTCTTCTAGAGAAGCCATTAACAAAGGAGACAAAATAATGGCTGCCTCCCCAATATGCATTCTTGGAAGGTCCCCAAACATTAGTGTGAACATAATCTAGAATGCCTTTAGTGTGGTGAATAGCAATGCCAAATTTCACTCTAATTTGCTTACCCAGCACACAGTGTTCACAGAATTCCAA